GGGATTAAATCCAGTGCTGGCTAGGCAAACTCTCCACCACTTGAGCCAGCTTTCCAGCCCAGCTACAGCTGTAGGTAGCCATCATACTCATGAAGTTGCCTTTACCAGCCCTTAATGAAAGTCCTTTTCTTTTTCTAGGTAGCTCTTTTGTGGTGATTTCACTTTTAGTTCCTCTCTCTTCTGGTACCTATTTAGACTGGCTTATTCTACATTACTCTATACTTCTCCTTTCCACTTTCTCTCAGCTCATTGGCAACTGTGCTCACAGCCTGGTGCTCCTTTGAAGTTGGTCACTGATAGAACACCAGCTCCCCTCAGGTCCCCTGGATTCCTTTTTTTTTTGGAAAGGACTTGAGGACTTTGCCCATTCCATTTTTTTTAATAGTGTTATTGAGATCAAGATAGAATTCAGATACTAACGATCTACCCATTACTGTAAGTCACTGAATCCTTGTACATTCACAGATGTGCCCCATCACAGATGTGTGCCCCCATTGCCATAGTTGTTTCTAGAATAGTTTCATCATCTCAGAAAGGTGCCCTAAGTTATTTCCATCCTCTCATTTCTCCCATGGTAGTAACCACTAAAACACTCACTAACCTATGGAGTTGGCTGCTATGGAGATTTTATGTATTTGTGTATTAATGTGAATGCCTTCGGTGTCTGGCTTTGTTCACTTAGCACATGTTTTCAGTGTTTATCCGTGTTGTGGCATGGATCAGTGCATGATTTCTAATTATGGCTGAATTATGTTCCATTGTATGGATAGAGTGCACTTTGTTGGTCTAGTCATTAGTTGGTAGATGTGGGTTGTTTCATTTAGATAAATGATTTTGGATAATGGATTTTGGATAATATTATGGATAATGCCCTTAAAATATTCAGAGTAAGTTCTTATGTGAGAATGTATTGTCATTTCTCTTTAGTATATATCCAGGAGGAGTGCAGTTACAAGAACTGCTAGTTATGAGAACATCGTCCAACATGGCTCCCCATTTCATTTTGCCCATACATAGAAACCTAACCATATTTCAAATGCAAGTATCTGCCCTTACTTTGGGTACATTTATGGATTAATAATATATTTTTTCTAAGTCTTCTTTGGTTATTTAATTATGTTCATGTATATTTTTAATCAACTATTGATGTGTATGTATATATGTAAAGTTTTAAAGTAGACATTTAAAGTAGCACATTACTTGGGCTGTGATTTGCAGAGTGGAGGGGTTTACCTTTAGAGTATAGGAAAAATAAAATACCATAATTATGTAGTGTATATAAAGTACTTGTAAATATTTCAGGTTTATAAATAAATGTTCCTCTGTGTGTGTGTGTGTGTGTGTGTGTGTGTGTTCCTGTGGATGGAACCCAGGGTCTTCATTGCTAGACAAGTGCTATGCTGCTGAGTCACATCTCCAACCTGTTTTATTTTGTTCTGAGACAGAGTTCCACCAAATTGCTTAGGGTAGCCTCATCTTTTTGATCCTCCTGATCTTCCTACCTTAGTTTCCAAATAGCTAAGATTATAGGCATCGAACACCCTGCCCTGCTAATAATATACTTCCATTAGAATTTTATTTTATTTTATTTTTTTAAATATTTTTTTTTGTGCCCGGTTGTGGGGCCTGAACTCTGGGCCTGGGTGCTGTCCCTCAGCTCTTCAGCTCAAGGCTAGTACTCTACCATTTTGAGCCACAGCGCCACTTCCGGCTTTTCTCTTTTTGCATATGTGGTGCTGAGGAATCGAACCCAGGGCCTCATGCATGCAAGGCAAGCGCTCTACCACTGAGCCACCTTCCCAGCCCTCCATTAGAATTTTATACTCAAAGATGTTTTATATAAATTGAACAGAATAATCACAAGGTAAAGTCTTGAGGGCAGCCATTATAGAAATATGAAGTCAAATACAGCTACATAGTTCCTTTGTATTGTTTTTATGAGTGTCTCACTCTGTTGAACCCTGGTCTCAAGAGATCGTCACTCCTCAGTCCCTTGAGTTCTGAAACTACAGAGTATACGTCATTGTGCCTGGCCTGCTATGTAGTAGTCCCTCCTTCCTTCCCTCCCCTTTTCCCTCTGTCTTTGCTTCCTTCCTTCCTTCCATCTCTCCCTTCCTTCCTTCCTTCCATCCTTCCTTCCTTCCTTCCAAGGAAGGAAGCCTCACTTGGTAGTCCAGTCTGTTTTTGAACTTGTGATATCCTGTCTGAGCCTCCTGAGAAGTGAATCGGTAGGACAACATAATGTGCACCACCACCCACTGCAAGCCAAGTTCTTTAGATTACTTTGCTTATACCATTGAAGATATTCTGCTAATGTCATCTCCACACACTGTATACATTTCTGTGGAAAAGCTTTGGATCAGGTGCCAGACTTTCATTTTTCTCCTACTTCTGCTCATTACTCATGGTGAGAGTATCTTTAAGAACTGAAATTAGTTCTTAAATTAGCATAGGAACAGCTAAAACAGGGTGAGCTTTTCTTATGCAGAATGAGAGTGGTAAGTATGAGCTATAGGAAGTTAGTCATTTGTATATCTTGGGCAACCCTGTGGTTGCCCAACATCTGGTTTTTTCTGATATTTCCCTTGGTTGGGTCTTGGCTCCATACCCTACCCCACCTCTTGCTCTTAATATCTGTATTCTGTGTTCTTTATCTCTGAGGGTGAGATCAGTCAGAGAGAACACCCTGTGACGCCAGCTTGTCACCACTGCAATCGTACATTGCGTGCCTCCTGCTGTCCTGTTACAACATAGTGTTCACAGTGAGGCTGTCGCCATATTCAAATCACCCTTCACCCTGATTCCTGGCTGTTGAATGGAACCTGTGGAGTCACATTACTGGATATTTTAGTGCTTCAGTGTGACATACACTAATGGTTTTAGAATCTGTTGGACGTTGTACAGATGAGTATTTGCTTAAGGTCAAAGCATGAAGGGAAATAGACCTAGAGAGAGACAGGAAAGGATTCTGGAAGTTGTTCATGAAATGGCA